ACGAGGCTCGAAGCGGTGGAGGTGGTCGTGGAGATGCTGTTGGCGATGCTGGTTTGGCCTGAGGAGCAGACTGGCTGGGGGAGAGTTTAAGGTTTAGTGTTGGGGTGTTCGGGTATACAATGGTATAGGATCTAGCACCGACCGAGGAATCGGGGGTTCTTTCAGGGGTCTGCAAGTGTTCTTAAGGGTTCTTGACGGGTTCATTCTGGGCTTATGAAGGTTCTCTACCGGGATTGTGGGAGGCCCTACACCCTAAACCCGAACCTCTATCAAATCCCTCAACCCTAAACCCTAACTAAACCCGTCATACTTGTATGCACGGAGTCTTTCGTATGTGGGCAGAAATTAAAGGTGTGCTCTGAGGTTTAGGCAGGGATGGTTCTAATTCAGATAATGCTTGCAGGCTTATAATACGGCTTCAAGATTCGAACGAGAGCATGTAGAGATAACTGCAACCAACATGCATAGCTTCCCAATCATCGACATTTTACCGCAAACCCTGTGAACGGTTCTCGAATCAGCGCTCGGACCATGCGTGTGCATGGAAGCATCGTGGAGCGGCAAGCAAAAACTGGCCTACATCAAAAGGCACTGAACGATCACATCATCGGGAGGCCCTTTAGGCGCTCTTGGCTGGGGTGTCTTTCTCACCCTTCTTGTTTTTTTTTGACTTCTTCTTCTTGAGTCCCGACTGCAGGGCTTTGGCGGCCACCTAGCGGGGTCAACGTTTTATGGGTTTAGGGCGACAATTACCTCTATAGAGCTAAGGTCAGGTTCTATAGTTCAAAACTACATAACTACGACTGGGTAAGGCCCGGGTTCTTTAAATTTACTATTGACCCTGACCCGAAGGTCTTGATGGCCTCGGTTCTTTTGTACCACTGGCTCATAGCCTCGTAGATGCCGTAGAACTTCTCATAGCTCGCGTTGTTTTTCACACCACGTTTCCGCAAATCCTGGAGTTTGGCATAGATGGTCTCGAGTTTGACACTGTGCTTCTTCATTTGGGTTACCAGGTCGTCGCTGTATTCGAGGTGGGCCAAAGATATGCTGAACTTGCGTGCGTCGCCGGCCTCTTTAAGGATTTCCTCCATCTTGTCCTGGGCCAACCTAGGATTCAGAATTCAGTATTGACCGACCCCAAAATAAAAGACGGACTCAACTATCATAACTATCACCCCTTGTTCTAGTAAGGCCAGAATTTATAACAAGTCGGGATGCTCCCACAGCTCCTTCGGCTCCAGCACCTCGGTCTCCTCCTTGATTTTTTCCGTTTTCTTCGGCGTCTTGGCCTTGCTGACTTCGCCATGCAAAGCCTCGAGCACCGCCCTGCTTCCGGCTTCGCTCGCTCCACCAACACCGGGCAAAGCACCCGCTGCAAGAGGGCCGGACTCCAGCAGGGCCTCTCCCAACTCCTTGTTCGGGTTGTCGTTGATCTTCAGCCTCATCTTCTCCTTGGTTTTGTCATCCCTGCGCACTGTGGTGCCCTGGCCGACAAAGTAGTAGTACTCCTCTTCGTCATCGGGGAAGTCTTCGTCGGGCTCGTACATACCCTTCTTGGTGAGCTTCTCGATAAGCTGGGTGGCTTTCCTCAAATGATCACTACTAAATCTGTATTATGGGATTAGCTTCGGGGTGAGGGTGAGGGTGGGGCCCGGGGGGTGGTGGGTCTGAGGGGGTTTTGTATATATAATAAATTGAAAATCTGATTCGGGGGGTCGTTAGGGTTCTATGGAGGGAATCGCTATTAAGTTTGGCAAAGACTCTGCAGGGGGTATTTCTTCTCGATGTCCCTTTTCTTCATTCCCTGGCGCTGTCGTCTGTTCAGAGTGCTCTGTTCGGAAGAACGTTCGATCTCCATTTGCACCCTTAGATGATGTGTTCCTAGGCTCAACAAGAACTCTCTTCTAGAATCATTGAACAATAGGCAGCTAAACACACCAGACAATATCACCAATGTCGACCAGCCACTTCTCCCAATCACCACCGGCTTCTAGCCACTTACGAAAGACATCTGTCTTTCCCTTGATGACATGTGAGCTCAGAGCTTGGGGGAACGTTTTCCGATTCTGGATCGCCCTGTGGAAAACATCCCACTCTTTCTTGTGTGTGGTACCTCGGCGAATATCTGGAGG